ATACAAAGTCAGCTTATTGCCCCCACAAACTGGGTCCTCAATTTACCTGCCTTAGAAAGGATGGAAGGCTGAGTCAACCTTGAGCCTGGCGAGATTCGAACCTGCAGTAATTGCAGGCAGCTGGTCTTAATAACAGGGTGCTTTAGACCACTGTACTACCAAGGCTCTTAGGGAGGGAGGGAGGGAGGGAGGGAGGGAGGAAGGAAGGGAGGAAGGAAGGAAGGAAGGAAGGAAGGAAGGAAGGAAGGAAGGAAGGAAGGATGGATGGATGGATCCGGGGTGGCACAGTGGTTAGAATGCAGTATTGCAGGCTAACTCACTGCTCACTGCCAGGGGTTCAATCCTGACAGTGCTCAAGGTTGACTCAGCCTTCCATCCTTCCGAGGTGGGTAAAATGAGGACCCAGATTGTTGGGGGCAATAGGCTGACTCTTAGAGAGGGTTGTAAAAGCACTGTAAAGCGATATATAAGTCTAAGTGCTATTACTACCCGTAAACCACTTGTTGACAAACCCATCGTGACCTCCTGATCCCCCTTCTTATTTTTTTGTATCCTTAGCTGCATTTCAGCGAGAAATATGTATGATTGCTGCAAATAGGTAGATCTCCCGCTATTCTGAGGCAGGGAACACAATGGCTACCTTGGTGTAACCGCCCTCAACTTTATTATTGAGATTAATCCATTTCCTGGCTTTGCACAATATTCTGAATCATGCAGGTTAAGCAAACACTCAGCCAAACAAATTGCTACCCCCGAATAATCAGGATAAAACTAACCAAGCTTAGCACGTTGTACAAATGCAGGAGTTGATTAAGCATTTAACTGTCCCGATTAAGCATGTTGTGACAGCAGAGCCAATATTAACAAAGACAGAACCGTAATTCTGCCCAAGTTTCATCGCTTTCTGGTCCACTTCAGTTTTTTTTCTCCTTCTGCTGATGTCAGTGTTACATCTGATTGTCACAAGCCTTTGGTTATGACTTTGTCTAATCCAGCATTGGCTTTTTAGTCTAATGCATCTCAATGCTTTATAAAAGAACAGGTAGTCCTCGACTTACAGCAGTTACATTTAGTGACCGTTTGTAGTTACATCAGCCCTTTAAAAAGTGACTTATGACGTTTTTTCACACTTAATGACCATTGCAGCATCCCCCACGGTCATGTGATTTACATTTGAATGCTGGACAACTGACTCACATTTATGACGGTTACAATGTCCCGGGGTCACGGGATCCCCTTTTGCGACCTTCTGACAAGCAAAGTCAACGGGGGGAACCAGATTCGCTTAACAACCGTGTTACTAATTTAAGAACTGCAGTGATTCACTTAACAAATGCGGTGAGGGAAGTCGTAAAATGGGACAAAACACACTTAACACATTTCTCACTTAACAACATAAACGTTTGGGCTCGATTGTGGTCATAAGCCTTGACATGCAACTGTAATGGAGCCTGCACATTGTTGTCCTATGTAATAATAATAGTGGTTTGGCGATGGTTGTTAAGTGAATACTGCAGTCATTAAGCAAATCAGTGGTTTGCAATGGGCACAATTTTGCCAAAAATGTGAAGTAAGTCCCAGTAGAAAGTTGGACCATAAGGAGGGCTGAGGGCCAAAGAATTGAGGCCTTTGAACTCTGGTGCTGGAGAAGACTCCTGAGAGTCCCTTGGACTGCAAGGCGATCCAACCGGTCAGTCCTAGAGGAGATCAACCCTGACTGCTCTTTAGAAGGCCAGATCCTGAAGATGAAACTCAAATACTTTGGCCACCTAATGAGAAGGAAGGACTCACTGGAGAAGAGCCTAATGCTGGGAAAGATTGAGGGCAAAAGAAAATGGGGACGACAGAGAACGAGGTGGCTGTCTCAACTTTAAATCCTGGTCATAAGACCTCTTTTTCAGGCCAATTACAGGTAGTCCTCGACTTAACAGTTCATTTAGTGACCATTCAAAGTTACAAGCAGCACCGAAAAAAAGGGACTTAACGACCATTTTTCACACAACCATTACAACATCCCCATGGTCACCCGTTCAAAATTCAGATGCTTGGCAACTGGTTCACATTTATGACCGCCACAGTGTCCTGGGGTCAAGTAATCCCCTTTTGCGACCTTCTGACAAGCAAAGTCAGTCAGATTCACTTAACAACCTTGTTACTAACTTAGCAACTTAGCCGTGATTCACTTAACCACAGTGGCAAGAGAAGTTGTAAAAGGGGGCAAAATTCACTTAACAAATGTCCCGCTTAACAACAAAAATCCTGGGCTCAATTGTGGCCGTAAGTAGAAGACTACATCTATGTGGATAAATGATAGTTTGTAGTGCTGCCAAAGCTTTTTTTCTTTTTTTTTTTCAAACTTTCCAATATTTACAGTCTGGGGCACGGTATCCAGAGCAGCAATCCTTTAAATTTTTAAAACAAAACTGCCCAAGTGCAATATCCCAGTGTAGGAAGTTAGCACCCACCCCTTTCCTAGAAGAATGAAATATTTTAGGAAATATTAAAAAGGCAGAATATTATGTTTCCCTGGATGAGAAATGGAGAAGCATGTTTTAAAGATGAAGCAGCTCCCATCTTCCTGCCCCCACCCTTTGTCAATGGGCCAGAGGCAGAAACTCAATCTTTGTCAATGGACCATCATCTGCAACACAATAGGACCCATCTAGCAACAGAAACTAACACAATAGGACCCATCTAACAACAGAAACTCATCACATGGCACCTGGGAAGATTACATCAGCCAGCAAGGCTAGCTAAGACCCCCACCCCCTGGGAGTCTGACAACCAATCAGGATACTCTTTCTGGGCCCCAGGAAGTTCAAAGCCAGAGAGGGCATAAAACCCAGGGACTCACTGCGTCTCGTCCCCTTTTTCTATTCAGGAACTCAAACCACGTGATCCTGTCCACCATTAAACCATCTTTCCAAGCAGTCTCCATGTTTCCAGTGTCTTTTTCCCCACTTGGAGCTGAACCCAGAAGGATATTTCTTCTTACACCAGGAGTGTGATGGATGCAAGCCAGTGGTGAAATTCAATTTTTTTTACTACCGGATCTGTGGGTGTGGCTTGGTGGGCGTGGTATGGCTTGGTGGGTGTGGCAGGAGAAGGATGCTGCAAAATCTCCATTCCCACCCCAAACTGGGGCCAGCCAGAGGTGGTTATTTGCCTGTTCTCCAAACTACTCAAAATTTCCGCTACCGGTTCGCCAGAACCTACTGAATTTCACCCCTGCCCTGAAGGCTTTTAAGAAGAGATTGGACAATCATAACAACAAAGCAGGAATTGTGATGTTTATGCTGCCGGTAGAGAGCCTTTTTGTACGTGGGTTGTGATGTGGCACACACAAATATGTTAAGGGAGTAGTCTTTCCATTATGTGGCATGTCTGCTCCCTTGTCGCATCTTGCCTCCCTCGCAGACTTGTGTCAAAATTCTACAGCTATTTTTTCCCCCCAGGATTTCTGCCAAGGTGGGTTGAGTTCATTAATGAAGACAGGCCCTACTCCCATTGGCGGTTTGTCATGTCACTGCCATGCCTTGCCACCCTAGTCTTCCTTCCCTGACACACCATGGCCTTCGCTTCTTCCCTACCCTTGTGAAACTGCCTGAAGTCATTCTTAAGTTGGACTTGAGTAAAAAGCATGCTTCCTCCTTTCTTTAAGCTTAAATGGGCCATCACGATGTGCAATGCCTGTCACAGTTTACCTGGGAGGTAAGGTGAGGAAACCTGTTGTGGGTATGACCGCAGAAGTGTTTGGGGAGTGTTGAGAGCATCCTTTCCCTTATAATCTTATTAGCCAACGTCTGCTGTAGGTGTTTGTTTTCTCCATTAGCACTTTGGTTTCTAAATTCCTTTCATATTGGTCACCTGCTCCCTAACTCCAGATCTCCACTGTTTTATTTGGAGAAGTTTTGGGGAAAGTGGTTAGGAGAAGGATTGCAGGATCCAAACTGGGTCGGGCACCAGCACCAAAGGTTTAATCTTCCGAGCTTTCGGACTCGTTCTGGAGACCATCCCACCATTCTGGTGAGAGAGAAGGTGGGCTCCAGTGGTGGGTTCTTCCCGGTTCGGTCCGGTTCGGCCGAGCCGGTAGCGGTGACGATATGACGTCACTGAACCGGTTCTCCCCACCCCACCCCCCCACGTTATTCTTACCTTTTATTTGGTCCCACCCCCAATCTTTTGCTGCCTCCTGTGTCCCAGCTGATGACTAGAGGGGAAAAAAACTGTTTAAACTCTTGCCGCGGGGCTTCAAAGGGCCGTCCTACAGCTGATCAGTGTTAAAAGCAAACAAATGAGTCGGGTCGTAAGTGCGAGGACTGGTCATAAGTGTGAGGACCTTTTAGAAATGACTCTGACCAGCTAGCCACGCCCACCTAGTCACATGACCTCCAAGCCACACCCACAAAATAAGCCATGCCCACAGAACTGTTAGTAAAAAAATTTAGAACCCACCCCTGGTGGGCTCCAGTGCTAGTCCGAAAGACTAAACCTCCGGTTCCTTTTGTCTGGATGTTGAACCAACATTCGCCTCTTTCCACTCACTCATTACATTCATTCAAATAATAGTTGAGCTGGTTTTGTGAAACCAGATCTGATTTTTCTCTCCCTCCCAGAAAGTAAAAGCCAAGTTCTTTAGAGCAGGGGTGTCCATCCATGACAACTTCAAGACTTCTGGACTTCAACTCCCAGAATTCCCCAGCCAGCTCTGGGGGAATACTGGGAGTTGAAGTCCACAAATCTTACAATTTCCAAGGTTGGAGGTCCCCTGCCTTAGAGCATCGAAATCCCTCCTTGCCACAACCCATTTGTGCTGATTCGCCTCCCTTGGTTTATTATATGATGTTGTTGCTACAATTCCAGCAGTCCACTCATCAATTTATAAGGCAGACTCCAGATTTCTTAGTGGTTTGGTTGCAGCCGGTGGACAGCAAGGACAAAACCACCATGGGCCATGGAATAATAGCATTGGGTTAAGATTTTAGATTGATTTTAAATCTCTCTCTGTCTCCAGCTCTTTGCCTGTTAGCAAAGTGAGCCAAAATAGGGGATTCTTTAAGAAGAAGAAAACAAACAACCCAACAAACTGGTGGGAAGAACCGAGCATCCAAATATTGCCGAGTACCGGCATACAGTCAAGCCATTTGTCGGTACAGGTGGACAGCAGGGCCGGGTGCCAAATTCTTTGGGTTTAAAGGAAGTAGTGGGAGGGAAACTTGCGAACCGCTCCTAGAAGGGTTTAACTTTCCTCTAGCAAATGAGAAGGAGAAGCTACAACATTCTGTTCCAAGCACTCCGGCGAGAATGTTTTTTTGGCAGAGGTGTTATTAAAACCGAGCAGCACGTTTCATGGTTGCCAGCACCAAGAGGAAAAAGGAAAAGAAGAATTAGTCAGGTAGGATGATCAGCCTCGGTTCTTCCTGGGTCTGCTGTGTTTTTTTTTTTTCCCTGAAAGCGGCTTATTATTTTTCAGAGCTTCCCAGTTTATTTAATCAGGCGGAAGAATCCTGCCTTCTCAAAGCAGAGTTAATGTGGTTAATTAAGAAAAAATAATGTTTCCACCCTGCTTGGAGAGCTGCAGCTTGTTTTAGGGGTCCCCCCTCCCTTTCCTTTTACAGTTTATTACCTTCTGTGTGTTTTATTAATCGCTGTTTGAAGGAGAAGCTTTCCTTTCTGTTTTTGTTTTTGTTTTAAAAAGCAAAGTCCCCCGGAATCTTCCTGAAATGTTGAAATTTGGAATGAAAAATTTTCTCTTCCACGTCTCACTTGTTGCACAGGTTTTTACTCAGCCGTACTGGAGATTTTATTTTTATTTGCTGGCGGAAGCGTGGCATTGAAATGTCATGGATTGCCATCAGCTGATGATTGGGGGCAGATTTGATGGTTTGTATGTGCCAGCTGTGCTTAAGAAGAAGGTGTAGTGTCCTGATTTTATTTCGTGAGATTGGGGAAGGGATAGATCTGCTGAAGACTTCACCTTGTTTGCAAATTTATGAATCAAGTTTTTCTTAGAATGCAATCCCGTTTTAGCTTCAGTTTCATTCCCCCAAAAAGGTGCTTTTTTTTTCAAGAGGCAACTGGATTGCCTTTGTTTTTCCTTGGAGACCTTTTGCTTCTCATCCAAGATCCTTTTTTCAATCCTGTCTTCTATCAGAACTGAAGAAGCTTCTTGGATGAGAAGCGAAACATCTGCAAGGAAAAACAAAGAAAGTCAAGTTGCCACTTGAAAAAAAAAAATCTTTGGGACAACCATGACCTGGAGAATCCCCATAGACGCTTCAGTTTCACTGTTGCTAAAAGTGGTGGATTCCCTGGTGCTTAAGAGGTATGTCATAATTTGCAGATGCTATTTGGAACTAGGAAAACTTGGATTTTTGTGGCTTTCTTTGTGCATTGGATCCTAAAGAAACACAGACAGAGAGACTGGATTTTTTTCCCCTTGTCGTAATGATTCCCCTGCCTACTCAAACCGAAGCCCCTTTGAATTCAGTGGCTGTTGTGTCCAGGTGGATGAATTTGGCACCTTCGGACTGTTGTTTTGAAAAGGTGTAGCCATTCAATAGAGCATTTTTGGCAAGAGAGGTATGGCTGTCTAATGGGGTATGATGACTGTAGCTGTAACCGTGATCCCTGGAAGTCTTTAGAACTGTATTCTAAATGCATCTGGAAGGTCCTATATTTGTGGAGATTGAATTAAATGCCCCCCACCCACCCACCCATATTGCTGAGATATCATTATAAGGTTAAAGTGAACCATTTTTACTCTCTTTGGTACAGTTTCAAGAAAGGTTCTCCAAATGAATGGCCATTCAGGAGATAACTGTATGTGTTCAGTTTTCCTGCTTTTGTAAAGAACATATGTCGACTGGCGACCCCCAGGGGGAGAGCCTTCTCTGTGGGGGCACCTGCCCTCTGGAACGAGCTGCCCCCAGAGATTCGTCGGATTCCCGACCTTCGTACCTTTCGCCACGCCCTTAAAACATTATTATTCCATCAAGCAGGGCTGGCCTAAAATATTATTTTAATGGGTTATTTTATTTTAGATTATTGGCCAAACTATTTAATAATTTTAAACTGTTTTTAACTTTTATATTGTTGATTTTTTTATCTTGGCTGTACACCGCCCTGAGTCCTTCGGGAGAAGGGTGGTATAAAAATTTAATTAATTAATAAATAAGTAAATAAGTAAATAAATAAATAAATAAATATCCATGATCATAGTCTGTTAAGAACTGTATTGTAATGGAACACAGGTTAGTTAAATCTGAGATTTACCACTGGGTTGTGGATTGCTTTCTCAGTCATGCCAAAATTAGAATGCTAAAATTATTGTCGTTCTTATTTTGTTGGTAGACACTTGGGAACCCCAAGGAACATCTGTTTTATGATGGTCTGTTGGCTGGCATGTTTAATTTTTTCCTTATTTGTCATATTTATTTTTCGTGCCACCCATTTTTTTTTTTTAAATTTTGTTCAAGGACCACAGAATGATGTCCATGAGATTTTTATTTTAGGCCATATGAAATTCAGTACTGCAGGTTTTCTTAAAACTGCTTAAAATTTTAGTGACGTTTCGGCTATTGAAAGAGCCTCTAAATTTCTCTTCAAGCAAAATGCAAAAATTGTGTTGCTACAGCCTGTGGAAAATAGGACTATTTTGGATGTTTGCTACTTTTATCAGATGTCCCTATAGTTTTCCTTAAAATTCTTTTCTTCCTTCACATAAGGAGTATCTGAGGGTTTTTTTTTCCCTTGATTGTTGTGTTTTGCAAAACTTTAGTAGCAATTCTAGATAATCCACTTTCACAACAGAAAGAAAAAGGAAAGGCAGAAGTTTATAGAGTTGATTATTTTTAAGGGCTATGATTATTCCTTTTTTTAAATTATGTGAGTAAGGAAATTAGGTTATTCCCAAAAGCTTTTCTGTCTGGGCAAAGAGTATTCAATTTAAATATATTTTAAAAAGCGGAAACAATTGTATAACAGCATAAACAACTATATGTGTTTGGTTTTTGATGGAATTGTGCTCTTTGTGAAGGTGTAAAGCCGAAATCTATAGATATTTTCTGGCAAAACCTTATTGTGCAAAATGTAGACTACCCTATACTTTCAAAACATATTTTCTGTATTTAGATGTTTGAAAAAATTGCTAACGTTCTATCACTGTCCCTTAAAATGTTTGTAAATATTTTGAAGTTTTATGAATGTTAACAGAATCAAACTGTTAAAATATTTAAGTATGAAAGCTGTTCGTTCAATAGCTGAATAGCCATATGTACACTTTTTCTTCTATTAGAAGTTGCTGGAAAGTGGAATAAAGTGATAATTGGTGTAGTTTGGTCTAGTGGTTAATGCACCAGGTTAGAAAGGCTGAGACAGAGAGTTGTAGTCTCACCGCAAATCACCTCACAAGGTTGTTGTTGTTGGAAAAAGAGCAGGAGAGAGGTGTGTTGGACATGTTCCCCATCTTGAATTATTTTTAAAAAAAAAAAAAAAAGCAGGATATAAATAAGTAAAATAATATTATGGCTAGAATGGATTCATTGTGAATTTTGGATTTGAAATCTTCTGCTCTGAACTTAGTACATTTAGTCCTCAATGTATGACCATTGAGGCTAGAATGTCTGTTGCTAGGCAAGATAGTTGTTAAGTGAGTCGCGCCCAATTTTGCGACTTTTTTTTTTTTTGCCATAGTTGCTAAGTGAATCACATGGTCGTTAATGGAATCTGGCTTCCCTCACTGACTTTGCCTCTTGGGTGCTGGGAAGGTTGAAAATGACAAAGTCATAAGTCCAGGATGCTCAAACTTTTTAATTATTATTAAAGATTTTTCTTTTATTTTTTATTGAAAAGTTTTAAAAATTTTTACAAACATTTCCCCTTCCCCCTCCCTACTCCCCTTCCAACTCTCCCCTTCCCCTCCCCCCCCCCCTCCCCGAGCAAAATACAAGGTATAACATTTGACAATCATAAGCTAACATAAGCTAATTATCAATAGTCTCCTATCCCCCTCTTGAACTTTTAACTCCCCTTTTACTAAACTAATTATTAAAGATTTTTAATGTGTGCCAGTGTCCACAGTAAAAAATGACAACAAAAGTTTGGGGTTTTCTTTCTTTCTTTCTTTCTTTCTTTCTTTCTTTCTTTCTTTCTTTCTTTCTTCCTTCCTTCCTTCCTTCCTTCCTTCCTTCCTTCCTTCCTTCCTTCCTTTCTTTCATCTATCTATCTATCTATCTATCTATCTATCTATCTATCATCTGTGGTAAATACAGGGCACTTGCCAAGCTGCCCATGTTTTGGTCATATGACTGTGGAAATGCTGTGATCTTCGTAAATGCAAGGACATTTTCAGTGCTGTGTAAATTTGAAAGGTCACTAAATGAATGGTTGTAAGTCAAGGACTATCTGTAATCGTAATATAACACTTAACGACCGTTGCAGCATCCCGATGGTCACGTGATCAAACTTTGGACGCTGGGCAACTGGTCCATATTTATGACGGTTGCCGATTCCCAAGATCCTGCGACCTTCTGACAAGCAAAGTCAGTGGGGAATCCAGATTCAGTTAACAACCGTCTTACTAACTTAACTGCAGTGATTCACTTAACCACTGTGGCAAGAAAGGTCGTATAATGGAGCAAAATTCATGTAACAACGGTCTTGCTTAGCAACAGAAATTTTGGGCTCAATTGTTGGATGTAAGTAGAGGGCTACTACCTCTACTGTATTTCCATTCTGGCCTCTTGTAGTATCTCATCCTTCCACCTTGTTTTCATGCTTGACTAAAAACCAGCATTTTCTTTCCTCACAAAGACCCACATTTTGGCTATGAATTTACCACCGAATTATCTCACGCTTTAAAGCCTGGTGATCTTACCTTGAGCTGGAAGTTGAATTTATTCCTGGAAATGCAAAACCTTCCAAGAAGATTTGTCTTTTTTCAAGGTTAGAAGAGCCTTGATGGCGCAGCGGACTAAACTGCTGCTAAAGTAGCACTTAGCTGCCTGCAATTACTGCGAGTTCAATTATCACCAGGCTCAAGGTTGACTCAGCCTTCCATCCTTTCGAGGTAGGTAAAATGAGGACCTGGTTTGTGGGGGCAGTAAGCTGACTTTGTATAAAATAGAACATGCTGGGGGGGCCAAAAAGCCCTACTAAGCAGGTATATACAAAAGTATGAAGGCTATTGCTTAACGCATTGTAAGCCGCCCTGAGTCTCCGGAGAAGGGCGGCATATAAATCGAACTAATAAATAAATAAATAAAATAAATAAAATCTCCAGTTGAGAGCTCAGGCTTTTGAGTACTTTTGCTCCCCTGTCACACGTTCTTTAACAAGTGGGATTCATCAGGAGTTCACACTTGGCAAAAATTGTGCATTGTTGCCCCAAATCAG